CGGCAGCGCTGTGGAAACCCGATGGGTCCCCGGCGCCGAGGCAGGTATTTACACACCGTGGGCTGTTTCAGAAGGAAAAGCTCTGTAAGACCACCTGATCCCCAATAAGAATTCAATTAAGATTTTAATAAAACCCTTGCAGAGAGCTGGGTCAGGAAGAGGCCCCTTGAAAAAAAAAGCCGAGCGCAGCAAGTTTGTGCTGCGAGCTGCGTTGTGATGCGCTGTTCAGCGTCTGTGGCTTTCTTCCCTTCATCTCCAGCCAAGCCACTGTCTCCAACTGTCTCAGACGATTGCTGAGTCTCCTAAAGGCCCAGCTACATAAGAGGCTCTGAGGAGAGTTCATGTAGCATTTCTCTCACCACTGGTTTCTCCCCCAACGTTGTCTCCATCTCTCCCAAAATCCAAAGGCATCCCAAAATCTTAACGTCTTTCTGTCAGCAACAGCAATGAGTGCTTTAACACACATATCTCCTGGCTGGGGATTTTCTGCCATCCCGGCCATCCACGTTCAGCTTTTCTATCATATGTTTGCATCTTCTTAAAAAGCAAATGAGTGCTTTGCCTGTTTTGACTTAATCTGCTTTACAGAACTGCAGGGTTGGGTGGTGGCTGTAAGTCACTTTGTTTCCAGACACAGATTATTTACATTCAGAGTTACAAAGTGAAAGAGTCGGAACTGATTAATGTTCGTCCATGTGTACCTACAGACAGGGACCTCTTACTCCCTTTCCAGTAAAAATACCAGCCCTGGGCATGCTGAAAGGCACGAGCACCACATGGAGCGGCTGCTTCCATCGCCAGGACACACAGACTTTTGTTTGCCTGTTAGTCAAGGGATAATCTGGAAAAAGCACACGCTGTGGAGGAGTAGGTGATTAATGCCTGTGAAATCCTGGCCCAGGGAAGAGCCAGCCCTGCCAGACGTGATAATGTTGTCCTCTGACAAATGGTCTAGCTTGGCCTTCTTCAGATAACGATGTAGTTTTGTGTGTTAGCTTCAGATATTGATCCCGCCAGGGAAGGGTTCCCCGTCGTACAGCTATCCATCCCACCTCCTCACTGCTCAGCTGTCAGAGCCGAAGGGGTTTGGCTATACTTCTTCCTTTCATTGGCACTTCTGCATGAGCTAACAATTACAAATGTGCATTTCCATTTATCTCGCACCTTTCAGCTGGAAGTCTAAGTACTTTACCCGTATGAATTAAGCGTTGCAACACAACAGTTGGATATCAGGGAGTATGTAGGGATCACCCAGTCAGCGCGTTGCCGTAACACAGCTGTTCCTTGTAATGTGGCAGATACTTAGCAGAATTCAAGAATATCTAAACAGAAAGTTTGGACCAGCTGCTTTCAAACTTATTTGCGTTGTCAATCCATAAAGTAGTCTGCTAGAGGTGTGGGCCCCCACACAGGGGACTCGGGTACAGCGATGACATGCTTGCTTTTCTGAGGTGCGCACACTCCGTCACCTTTGGCAATGCGTCTAGCATAAGTCCTCAGCCTCTTCTCCCGGCCCACTGCCCTTGCGGTGGCCCTGATATAACTGTATTTTGAGCCAGACTGTCTACTGGATCAACTGGATCTCGATTTTTGTACAGTGTCAAGCCTGTATATTTTTTCTTAAAAACACTTCAAACAGTACCAGCAGCTCCAGGTTCTTGGGACCTGGCTGCCCAGGGCTCTTGCCGTCCTGAGGATGGGCACCAACCACAGCCCAGCCGCTGTCCTGCAGGTCAAGGCCAAGTGGTTCAGCCAGCGAGCTTTCCCGGGGGCTGGTCTGTGGCAGAACTAACTTAGCTCATGTTTACGTAAAGCCACGCAGCAAAGGTGCTCATGTACTGCTGTCATCTTATTACCTGTGTAACCTTACATAAACTTTTAAAGGCGTACGTGTTCATGTTTCATCCCAGAAACCTGTGGGGACAGCAGCGCTGTAGAGGCACAGTTAGCCCAGTTCTGAAACAGCAGTGCGCTCTTCTTAAACAAGCGCATCCTCAGCACTGCCTGCAGTGCTGACTTGCTGCCTGACATTGCTCATGTATAATGGGTTATCTCAGGTCTACTGGAAAACACTACAAAAATGAAACTTCTTCCTGGAGCAACTGAATTCTGGTAATTTCCAAGTCATGTAGTTTGTTACTGAAGTTGAGGTCCTGTTTCCGTGCTACAATGCCCTAACACATCAGTTACGCAGGACTAGGCGCTAAAGATGGGCAGCATGTCATCTAGGTTGAGAAGTGGATATGTCTAAAAGGTGATTCATCCTTAGAGATGAGTCACTCCTTAAGTGTGCCTGTTCCTCTCCACTGATAGTAAAGAAAAGCTGGTAAACAGCTGAGACACATCTACATTGCAGCTTTACAAAACACCTGAAAGGAATCTGACCTATGACTTTGTAACTTACTGAGAGAGGATGCTGAGCTTATGGGACATCTGAATAGCAGAAACCCATTCTTAAAACTAACCTTTGATATTATAATATGGTATTTACTACTTGTGCAGCAATCCCAGCTCCAGATTGTTGGCTAAGCAGTATCTCAAGATGCCTAAACCCCACAGTTGGTATTTTCTGTCTTTATCCATATGTAACAGAACCACCACCCAGCTAACGAGCCTGCCGGGAGGAATTTGGAAAAGGGTGCTCGTAGGCCAAGCTTAAAATGTGTTGGCAGCACTGTGCATGTGGGCAGTTTACATAGCCCACAGTTTAATTTCGGCTGTAACCGCTACTGCTATTAGATTCTCATTATGCACTGGTGTTTGCATGCATATGGAACAGAGGTTGTACCATTTAATTACATCTACAGCAGTGGAAAAGTCCCATCACGTCTATAACTACCAGCCTAATCTGAAACCCTCTTTGCTCCATGGCAGGTAATCCCACCCTTGCCCCTCCCTGCTTCTAGAAGTGCACAAAACTATCGAGTTGTTTTAGAGTTTCAACATGCAGCATAAAAGCTTGAGAGTTGAATCTGCCCTGAAAATAAAAAATGATAGTGTGATGCAAATTGAATTGTACCGCTGCATCTTTTAATTTCTGGGAGACTGAACTGAAGCCGAAGGTGCAGGTTGTACATGGTGCAGACTAGCAAGGAGCTATTGAGTTACCTGACTCACTGCAGGCTTCGTGCATTTGAAAAAGCAGCGTTCAAAATGCCTGAGCAATAAATACAAGACAGTATCTTGTCCGCTTAGTTGGCTACCTGCTGCCTGTCCCCCCCAAAATTCATGCTGTCTTGTTCTCAAGCCTCAATCTACACCCAAATGTTTGTCAAAGAGGAGCAGCAATTTGTCAGTTTTCCTCGTATTTGGGTAGGACTGTATTGTATTGAACAAAGTACCCCAGTGATTTATAAACCAAAACTCCTGAATTCCTTCTCTGGCTTTAAGTAACTCAGCCTGTGCTCATGCCTCAGCGTGTACTTACAAGATACTTCTGCTGTGAGGAAATGCTGGTGTCAGAGGCCCCTGCTGTCTCTTGCCCCAAACTGCAGTCCCTCCCTGGCCCTGTGAAATAATTTGAGTTTAAACTAACCATGCAAAAATAAATCATTTCAGTGATCCGGCTTGCAACATGGGCACCAAGCAGCGTGACAGAGGGGCAGCAAGCTGGGGCTGAGAGCACAGAATAGAGGATTTAAAGTAGTTTTGTCACCACGGCCAATATATCATGTCGCTACACCCTTGCCGTTCTGCCCTGGGAAACACAACTACAGTAGCTACTATCCTGCTAGCTGTCCCCTCGAGTATGGTATGTGTGTAGGCGTTGCCTGCACAGGCATCAGCAATCTTTACATTTGTACCTTGGAGGCTCACGTGAGAAGAAATATCGAGAACACGGTTACTGCAAAGGAGCATGGAACGGGAGCTGTGCTTTGCAAGGTGTAATACCAGGAGATAGCATGTCACAGAGGCAGTCCATCATTAACATCGTCTTCTAATTCTCTTTTTTTCTTTTACTTTTAGCGTGGAAACAGTGAATGATGGGCAGTTTCATAGTGTGGAACTCGTGATGCTGAATCAAACTCTGAACCTGGTGGTGGACAAGGGGACTCCCAAGAGTCTAGGAAAACTCCAGAAACAGTCTTCTGTCAGCCTCAACACACCCCTCTACATTGGAGGTATAGTGACTTGGTCTGGACTTTGAGATATTAACAAGTCTTCTTGGAAGCAAATCATCTTCCATCCTATGGAGAGGACTCTACGGGCTGTGGGGGGGGTAAACTAGTAGTTTGCTGTTCCCTTCTGCCAGAGGTTGCTTCCCTGAGCAGAGAGCCTGGAAACCACAGCTCTGCCGTTCTGCTTCCTACTCCACCGTCCACTAGCACCCCACCGCGCACCAGCCCAGGGACGTTAACCTCAGCACAGCACAGGCAGTTTCTCTTACACAGCCATGGCAAGAGCAACCACTTGGCCATTTCTAAAGCTTTCAATGCAAGTATCACAGTCACTGCGAAAAAGCAAATCAATAGTCAGTAGGTTTAAATATGCCATAAAAGAGCTATATGTCTGCTGGAAATTTTATAGAGGTCTAAAATTTGGGGGGAGGGGAGGATTAAAACCTCCAAACCACATTAACACACAAGCTGACTAAGAACTTCTTGGCTAATAGTTTTCTCATTGGAAAATTAAGCCAGAGCTTCAGTATTAGAAAGATGTAAGAACTGGCCAAACTTCATTTAAGTTTTTTTCCTATTCAGTACTGAATTTGGGGGAAGAAGGGGCCAAGTGGGGTGGGGAGCAGATGCCCAGAATAACAAGTATCCCACTGATTAGGTGTCTGGATATGAGAGACAGAATGAAGGCTCTGCCTGCTTCATTTGTTTTTGCCAGAACTGCCCCAGGTCTATTATTGACTGAATGTTGAAATCTGTCCCTTTTGGTGACACAGAGTTCTTTAATTTTTAGTCAGCCTATTCTAAATATGAAAGTCAGCAGAAGAATAATAGACCCAGAAAGTCTTTGAGCTTTTTCTAACCAGATCATTGAAGCCAATATGAGAAACTTACCAATTTCACTTGGTGCTGGTCAAGCCTTTTGTAAATAGTTTCCTTTAATAACACTTTTCTAAAAGAACCCTGAATATTGCCCTTGTAAATCAGAAAAGTGGCTTATCTTGCTTTATACAGAGCTGAACTTTTGTAATTGGCTCCTACTAAGAATGTCACAGGCTATTAAAGAGCATTATGCATCAAAGATAATCTGCTGGTGAGGCCATCGCAATTTCTCCCTCTAGCACAGCATAAAAGATGCCAACTCCACAGCAATTTATACACAGGGAACTTGGGAAGTAATCACGTGGAGAAGTTTTGTTAGTAGATGAGCACTGTGGATCAATACTAATTCTCAAAAGAAGGTACCTACGGAAGTGCATTCACAGGACAAATCTGAGACCTGGAGTGAAGGACTATGGGATATCAGAAGCCATGGGCTCAGTGGACTTTTTTATTGTCCATTAAAATTCTTCTTGCTTCTTTCTAAACCTTCACTGTTCTGCATGTGCCACCTCTCTGTATGTAGCATTTCCATGGATGCCAGCTGCCCTTCAGTTAAAGTAATTGATTAAATTACCCCAGAGCAATTGTTCCTAACCTACACTAAGCTTCAAGACAGACCTGCGCCTTCACGTGCCCAGAATTTTGCCCATCTCTCCAAGTACATCACCTGGTCCTGCAGCTTTCCTCCTAACGCACGGTTAACTAAAGGTGCTGTTTTTGTTTTAAGATGACTTTAACAGTGGAGTTACTTATGGATAGCAAATTCAGAGGCCTTACGCAGTTGAAAATGGAAGCACTTGCCTGTGCTTGTGCAGCTACACAGCCCAAGCGGATGTCAGTGGGGAGGGCGTAACACAACATCCAAAAGAATCTGCTGGCCATCTGAGTGTGTGAACTCTTCCAAGCGCTTGAACAAGTTGGAGGGTACTCACCACAAAGACTTGGCCTGGTCTCCTGAAGTGCTGTTCCCCATCTCCAGAGTTCTCCTGCGGTAGTTCCGACGGGGTGCACTCTTACTACTCCCTGTTTTAACGCTGGGATCTAGTAATGCCGAACTACCTTGCAGTATCCCAGAGGTGGTACCTACCTACTGGCAAGTAAAGACATTCTTAAGCCTTTCAGAAGGGTAATTGCTATTAAACTATAGACAGAAGGAGCATTAACTAAGGACAAGAACATATGGCCGTCAGCCAAAAAAATTGGGCGTTTGGGGGTTTTTTTGTCATATATTTCTTACGTAAGCATGGGCAAGTGATTTTATTTTTGTTTCTTTCCATTTCCAGAATGAGGACAATGAGACTGTGCTCCCTTACAAAGGTCCTATGCAGATGGATTCTTGAAAGATTTTAAGGGGCTGTGACAAAAGAAACGTTAACAATTATAATTTACGTACCTTCATTGTAACTGTGAGTAAACCTTTCCTCTTTGTTTTTATCTGAAGGGATCCCGACCTCTACTGGATTATCTTCACTGCGCCAGGGTGCAGATAAGACACCAAATGGTTTTCATGGATGTATTCACGATGTCCGCATCAATAACGAGCTGCAGGATTTCAAGGATTTACCACAGCAGTCACTAGGAGTCCTTCCTGGCTGCAAATCCTGTAACATCTGCAAACACGGTATTTGCCGGTCCCTAGAGAAAACAAGTGTGATTTGTGAATGTCACCCAGGCTGGACGGGTCCCCTGTGTGACCAGGAAATTGGAGACCCATGTATTAACCACAAGTAAGCTCGAGTGAATGCTGATGGGAGGGTAGAAGCTTTACAGCTAGTGCATGTTTCACGTTTCATCTTGTAAAACCACATCTGACTATTTTTGGAGGTGCTGGGTTCCCACATGAAATTATTGACAGTTGTGAGTCAGCATCCATGGCAACTCTCAATTTCCACTTCTTGTTCTGATGTTGCTCACTCTCCAAATGAGCTCTTTGTCCTGGAGGAGCTAAGGTGTAAATGCTGCAGGTCGTGCTTTCAGCTGCGACTTTGCACATGGAAATACACAAACTCCTGTTAATGGGTATGGGTTACCTCCGAGGTGGCGAGTGCCTGCGCTTACCCAGAGCAGAGCTACCTGTGAGTGGGAGGAGCACATTTTAGGGATATGCTCACAGCAGCACTGGACCCAGTGTTCAGACTGACTCCGTGAAGACCATTATGCCCTCCAACGTGAACAGTTTTAAATTTCCCAAATAGCTGACTTAAATATTACACTCTGAAACACCCCTTTAAAGTGCAAGTTTAAAGGATAGCGACGAGTTGCATGCGAAGGGAGCATGCGTGTGAAGCATTCACAGTTCAAAGGCTCAATAACCACATCTCCATCAGAAACACCGGATGAATAGCTTACTTATGGCAAGTACACAAGGAAACAGTCCAACGCAGACCAGCAGTCTGCATAGTTCAGTGCTGTTTCATAAGCAGATGGAAGTACTTTTGATTTAGAAGCTCCTTTGGTTGCGCTGTCTGTGGAAGGGGCTTTCCACAAGCACATACTTTTGACAGGTAAATTGACACTGTGAAAAATCACTCTCTTAAGGGCAGAAATTTTACTTGGCAGAGGTACCATTTTAAACTTGTTTCTGGGTCTAATTCTGCAATGTACTGAACCCTGGAAGGTGTTGAGAAGCACCCGACAGTTTACAGGCCAAAGCAATGAAGACCCAAGTGAAGGAACACTCAGAGGCCCAAATGTTTCCTTGATTCCAACGTCAACATGAAGCTGTTGTGGATGAACAGAGAAAAATAAGGGAGTTCCAGATGTTTACATGATGAGGGATTGTTTCTCTCAATCTAAGGAGGGTGATGCAATCACAAAGGTAGCCTCCTTGCTAAGGAAGGTGGCTGCGTGTATTTTTAATGCTCACGTACTGTCCCACCTTTCATTAAAGCACTTCAGCCTTTTGGAGTTGTCTCCTCAAAGCCAAGCCCTTTGTGTCCAGGGGAGTACGGTGCCCTGCTGGCAGGGGTCTGCTCCAACGCTCACAGATTACTCTAAGTGACGAAATGCAACCATAAAGAACAGGTAGTTGATGATAACAAGAATTACTATCCAAGCACATCTTTGCTTAGCGGGGCAAAAAATTCTGGTTTATGTAGACTGTGACTCCCTTTATTACAGTATTTTGCATGTCTTGACCTGACTGAAACTGCTTTTATTATTTGCACTTTTTAGTTCAAAGCTTAAAAATGAAATGTACAAGGATTCAAGATAAACAGGGAACAATTTTATAGTACCAGAAAGAAAATAAATAAGAGAAAGACATGGGTTTATGTCAAGTAGGACCTGATATAGCAAAGGTTTATAAGCCCTGAGCAGTTTTTCCTTGGCTGGACAGTGTTGCTTTCTTCCCTGTCCTCAGCCCATTCCAAGTCTGTCTCTGTCCCTGTCCCATAAGTGGGGATGGTGTCAGAGAACCTGCTAAGGATCAACACCCCACCCTGTGGTATTCCTCAGAAATACCAAAGCTCACTGCAAACCACACGAGCCAGGGAACCCTTCAACTACAACTGCCTGTGAATAGCTGCCTGTGCATAGCTTTTCCACAAGCACCTTCATTTATCACACTGTTTTTCATCACCTGATATTATTTGTAGAGTAATTCTGCTATGGAAGCCTGGGCATGCAGCTTGATTGTTGGCACTTAGTTGTACATGCTGATGCTGTACATGTGAGCTGTCTTGTGTGGGTGCCAAGCGTTGGTCCGTGCTCGTGGAGGAGCCTAATGTTTTTCAAAGAAATCACTTAGGATCACAAATTCTAAATGTATTTTCTGAATGTTATCCAGTATTCACTGAAAACTCAGTTTCTTCAGAGTGTTTTGACATTGAACTGCTGTTTTTGGATTAGTATCCTGGGATTAAATGGGCAAAAATGCCAAAACCAAACATCCCTGGGAAAAGGAACTTTCACGTCAAACACAGGCCAGCTCTAAATGCTTTTCTTTCTCCAGGTGTCTGCATGGTAAGTGCATGGTGGCCAATGTTGCTTACACCTGTAAGTGCATGGAGGGCTACACAGGCATGTACTGTGACAAGAAGAACAATTCCTCAAATCCCTGCAGGATTTTGAAATGCAACCACGGGCAGTGTAAAATTTCCGAGCACGGGGAACCCTACTGCGAATGCGATCCTAACTATAGTGGAGAACATTGTGACAGAGGTACGCTTGGCTGCAGGGCCCAGGACGCTGCTCTACTGTATTTCTGGGTTACGCTGTTTTTACCACTCTTCCATGGGACTCGTATTTGGGGGTACCTGGCAAATAGTAGAAGATAAAGCTAAGTCAGCCTCTGCAGAGCAATACAGGGAGGAGAAAAGAACCACACAGCAGCTCGCTTGCTACTATCCGAACATATCGAAAGGGGGACATCTGTAATGGAGGGTCTTATTCTGTCTCCTGCATCCTCAGGATTTGCTGCTCCCAGGATTCTGGTGGGATGTTTAAAGGAGAGGTTGTTGTGAGGTTTACCCTCAGCAACCAGTGATCGGTTAATCGCAGTGGTGGGAAAGGAGGTCTTACCCTGCATACCAAGGGCTTTTGTAGATGACATGAGCAGGAACCGGAAGGCAGGAGGCACTGCTCAGCTGAAGTGGCAGTAAAGATTCTCAGCATCCTTCTGATGCAGCTGGGCGGGTTTCCTGGGGAATTCCACAGATCATGCTGGGCTTTCCTACTAGGGCTGGGGCCCAACTCTTCTGCCTGACCTGAAGAGACTTGCTGGAAACTCAGTGAGTTCTATCTTCAACGCTTCTGCCTTTTTTTGTTCCTGTACAGAAGGAAGGAGCTGGCTTGTATTATTTTTATTTAGGTTGTGCCTTTCCTGTGAATGAACCACAGACTTTCCGAATTATACACATACACAGCCACACCAAAATGGATCTGGCTCCTGTAAAGTGGCCGCAGAACGGCACAGACATTTTCAGGTATCCCAGATTGCTCATGTCATGCAGAGCAGGCTGACCTCTGATCCTGAGAAGTAGACATAGTAAAACAGTTCATATTTTGCAGGAGTGGTGCAGGATTCAACACTCAGCATTCATTAAAGCACTTCCAGAACTGCTGATCAAAGCCAGCAGGCCTGCTTGGCCTCTGCCTTGTGCCGGATATTACACATTTGTGTAACACAAGCTCTGTTTTGATGGCAGGTACGAAGCAGTAAAAGATTAGGGTCCTGCCCATGCCATCTGTTTGCCTTGGATATCAGTACATGTACGGGGCTGTCTGCTGATGTTTGGGGGATATCTGGCAAAAAAGCTACCACATTTTTTTTTCCCTCTATATCTCTGTTGTCTTACTAGAGAATCTCTGCCAAGGAGAGATAATTCGAGAAGTAGTCCGTAAGCAGCAGGGCTACACGTCGTGTGCCACTGCCTCCAAAGTGCCCCGCCTGGAATGCCGTGGCGGCTGCGGCAACGGGCAGTGCTGTGTTCCTCTCCGGAGCAAAAGGCGGAAATACTTCTTCCAGTGTGTGGATGGCTCCACCTTCACGGAAGAACTGGAGAGACATGTGGAATGCGGCTGCTCAAAATGCTTATAAGCCATTCTCCAGTCTCTTGCCACTTTAATCGACTCAGAAGCGCTATCAAAACGGGACCTATTTACTTGCAGAGTGAAGAAGAAAAGAATTATTAAGTATATTGTAAAATAAACAAAAAATAGAACTTATTTTTATTATGGAAAGTGACTATTTTCATCTTTTATTATATAAAGTATCGCACCACTTTGGGTATATGTATCATATAGTGAGTTATTTTTACCATGAAACTTTTTTAACAGTTGTAAGAAAAAAAAAATTAAAAAGTTAAAAGTTAAAAAAATATATATAAAGAAAACATAGCCTAACAGGAGAAATGTGGGGGGTGACTTCATGTGTATGCACAATGAACAAATGTAAAGGTGTTCCAAGAACCTGCCACGGAACTGGTATGGGCTGAAGAAACCTCTGAGGCTCTGGGCAGGTCTCCTCGGAGAGCGGATCCCCACGACCGACAGCCATCTCACCTGCTCAGGCACCCTGAGAAAGCCTCCCCCTCGGTCCCCTGCTCTGCCTAACACTGCCGATGCCGGTTTGTTCCTGTACAGTGGCTCCGCTTGCTGTTCTTGAACTGGTTCCCTATAGCACGTAGGCACTGCCGTAGCTTGAGGCTAACTGCATTATTTGACTATTGTAATACTAGAATACATTTTTTGCTGTGTATGTTGTATTTATCTGTGTTCACATTATATTCTTCAGCAACTGTATCTATAGAGCACAGGCAGCTTTATCCAAAAGAAGGGGACGAAGGGAAAGGAAGTGGGGAAATATATGTTGCTTTGGGAAATTTGGGGGCAAAATGCAAAATAAGTGCTAAGTGATGCCTAATAAATGACATAGTACTTTTGTGTAAACTCCTCAGCTATGTTATTTCACAAGTTTGTGCCTTCTTGCTCCCAGCCTTGAGCCCTTTTTTGTATATGAAAGATAAGGAATGCACTGCTACATAGTTCGTCACGCCTTGACACTTTAACTTGCAAAAGTTGTAAAGAGCATGAAATTATTGCAGGTGCCAGAACATACCTGCAGCATCATGGCTTTTACTCCCACTGCCGCTTCAGCCATGGGTGTAAGCTGGGCTGTAGCTGCCTGTTCATCCACGCTCTGGTACCGAGCAGTTGTCTAATTTTTCTACAGCTTTTTAAATGCAGAAGTTGCACTATATCCATGTGAAGGTATTTAGTCGACGTTTGTCCACCTTAGCAGCACTCTCTTCTCTGCACAAGGAGAGACATCACAGCTCCAGCCTGTCCTGTTCTCACATTTGCTGCAGATTGACCAATTCAGCCAAAGCTTTTCCATCTGTACTGCTTCACGTCCTGCACTTGTGTCTCCCAAAGGACTGCCATTAACTTTAGCTGTGTTCGGAGCAAATGCGGAATAGGAAATGAAAATCAATGCAGGGATAAATTCTCACCATGAATGTTAGGCAAAAATTGACTCTGGTAGTGAGTTTGATTTTTGGAGGGTTTTTGGCAGGGCTACCTTTCAGGGTCAGTAAGTACGTGCAAAGAGTACCATGGATACCTTGAAGTTTCTCTTACTAAGTTTCAAACATCCCCATCAACTGTTCCATTATCAGTGTAGTTCTTTCTTCCCCTAATATAGCAAGTCCTTTCTTCAATTTCTCTTTTTCTAAGAGAGGTGAAGTCAGAGATGATTCCTAGCAGCCGTAAGCTCCTTTTGGGGACACTCACTGGTCTCTCCAAAAAGATTTCAGATGAGGGGCTTCAGCAAGGGATGAGTAGGAAAGTTGAATCAAGTAAACAGGGCTTTTGTTTGACTGGGGCTTTGGAAAGCTGCACAGAATGCAACCCTGCCATGACAAGTATAAATGTTTATTTCCCATTACAGAAAGTGACTATCTAGCCATCATGCAGCCAGAAAGCTCTAATGTGCTCAGTGTTCTTCTGCTACATCAATCTCCTTAACTGCAGCAGTTCATTCGTATTTCTTTGTTACTACTAGAGCAACTTGAGCAGAAGGGACATAACCAATATAACAGCCACCTCACAAAATAAATACCAGTACGTGGAGCCTGCAATCAATGATACATAAAACAATCACCAGTTAATGTGCCAAACTCTGATTGAAACAGCACAGCTCAAGACCCAGGGAAAAACTAACCCCGGTTGCAAGTACTATGGGCTGCTCTTTATTTTGAATACAACGTCAGAAGCTTATAGCAGCTGGAGTTTGTGGTATACAACAAAAATCACCCAAATCCACAACCTACAGGTTTTAAAAATTTGTGCGAGTAACTGCAGACACTTGTGCAAATATGTGCCTGGCACACCACTACTGTTAATGTTTCATTCCTGCTTAAAACACTTTAATTTCTAAAGAAGCAGCTGCGCTGGTGCTGGGCAGAAGAATCCAGACTGAGCAGCGGCTTACAAGCCCTCCGTGTGCTCTACTACATGATTTGTAGCCACTGAACTGCCAAGGCCTGCAGAAACACAGCCCCTCTTGAACAGCACCCAAAACTGTGTTCACTTTGTCCCTTGAGCAGCAACGTGTATGAGAAAGAAGGTGACATTTACTTGTGGCCTCGCACCTTCCCGAGGGTGCTTTACAAGGAATGGCCTCGACCGGCAAGGCAAAAGCCATCAACATCTTGTTGGCACACCACTCTGGGATTTATTTAAGCAAAGTGACCAGCAACAACACAGCAAGGCTGGCCCTGTTCCCGGCCCTTTTCTGCCACGGCACTTCCATGTTAAGTGTTGGGATAAAGAACTAAGAAGATCTATTTTGTAACCAAATGATGCAATTTTTGTATGCTTTTAGGCAGCACTTGCCATTGGATAGTGATGCTTTATGTCAATGATTCTCTGACTTGCTATAGAATTATTTTATGTTAAGATGACAGTAAAAAGCATTCAGATGTGCCAAAAATGTGAGGTTAACTGAAGTGTAATTAACTCTGAAAGTTCCTCTGTAACCTGCCTAATGTTACATTAGATTCCAAGAACTGCGGGTACAATGCAGTAGTTTTTACCTCTATAAAGTTTTAATATAAAGTGAAGAAAGATGCTTACCCTTAAAAAAATGGCAATGCAGACTGGTGTGAACTGATGTATTTTATTAATAGATTCTCATTGTGATGTAAGTTTAAATAAATTGTTGGGTTATGGAAGATTGTAACATACCTTGCCTTGTGATGCAGATTATTTCTGTGTGTATTTGAGGTGTTGAATCTGACCTTTTAGAGTCATGAGGTAGCTCACGGAAAACAATGGGAGGACTTCCCACATTCCTCTTGGACAAATCTAGTCAGAGAATGGGAGTATTAACAGTGGTTACATATTTTTATGGCACCAGAACCTAATCTTTTAGGAGTCTTACAGGCACAGATGAATTAAGCTACATAGAAGATACCTAGGCTCAAAAACTTCGATGAAATCCTTCAATAGTGTCCCTGCCTATGGCAGGGGGGTTGGAACTAGATGATCTTCAAGGTCCCTCCCAACCTAAACCATTCTATGACTCTATGAAATACTTTATTTGGTGCTGGTTTTTTTAACTGGTTGAGAAAAGCCTGCAGCAAAAATACGCTTATTAACTAATGACAGAATAAATGAAGAAATACTGGGAATTAGCATCAGAGGAAGTGTGACTGAGGAAATGGAAGTCACATAGTCAACAGTGGATGACAGGGATCTTGTGATGTCCTGACACACGTATATTCCAAATTTGCTGCCACACCTCTGTAGCTGATCATTACGAGTGACCCAGACGTAACAGACCTCTTCTGTTCATTGCATTCCGGCCTTGGCATAGAATAAAACAAAGCTCCTACCTAGTCCTCAGCCTTCCCTCACCCATGCTCCCTGTGTAACGCTCACACATTGCTAATTATGCTTCAAACTATGGCCCTTAGAGTTGCCTTTGCTATTCCATGGAAAACTGGTGACAGCACTCAGCCAATAAAAACACTTAACATTAATGAGTATCATTAAGCCTGAACTATGAAGGTTAATTACATAATTGTAGCAGATGGTAGCATTTTCACCTAAAGCAAACCCAGCTGAGCCCACTAAAAAAGCTAGCGGGAACTGTTCAAAAATGTCTAGGTACTGGCTGGAGTCACTGGTTTGCACAACAGTTATTTGTACTGCTCATGGCTTTGCAGCGCACAGGTTCCTCAGCGGGCACTCAAGCAACCGCAGCACAAGGATAAAACGTTCTTGTTTTGCTTCTGCTTGTAGAGCTCCAGGTATCGCTTTTTAGCCACTGATCTGAGGCAAACAATGCTGAGAAACTGTTTATCCTGCATTCCTTTGGTTTTTTTCTAACTGGCAGGGACTAGTTAGATGGTGTTCCTGTTTGCAGGGTGTTTGGCTGTGGGTTTTGCGTTGTTCTCTGGGGGTCCTGTCACTTCTGGTCTCTGTGACCTCTTTTACAAGTTATCTCCCCAATTCCTACTTCATCCTACACAAAACATCCCCACAGCTCAGTGGGCGAGGCAGCCAGAATTGGCCTCATTTTGCCAAGCCCAAGGTGCTCTGGAGTAATCCCCTGGGCTTAAGGGCCAGTGAGATGCCTGACTGGATCACTGGTTGGCAAGTCCCATATGGTTCTGTGTGTGAGCTGAGCCAGAATGTTTTCCAGGAA